GAGGCTTGTTCTCCTTTATTTGAATAATGATTTTTAACCATTTTTATAATTCTTTTACAATAACATTTTGATATGATGCAATTCATATTCAGAAACCATTAAAATATGTGTCAGAATTTCTTTATAGTTACTATGTTTTAGTGTTTCATGTCGTTGTAACCCAGCTTTTGATTTAAAAGTTCTATTGTTATAGCAAAGTGTATAATAAACATGAGTTAGATTGTTTATAATAGGCATTTGAAACCTTTAAAAATTAACAATAATAAAATATATAAGTTTTATATACTAAAAGTTTTAAAAAGCTTGATTTAATAGTAATTGTTAATTATAGACTCTACCTATAGTTTAAACGATCAGTTAACCTTTACGAACGATTGGTTGGACATAAATAACTATATTAGAATAGTGTGTATCAATTTATTTGACACAAAATTTTGGGGTACTTTTTTGATCAGATCATATAAAAATTGGGGACCCTGATGATCAAAACATAGTCCCTAAAAATCAAATCAGTGAATATGAAAATCAAAAAAACTTAAAATAATCTGATTTTTCATAAGTTAGAGTTAGGGTGAGGTAAAAATAGTGTAAAAACAATAAAAAAAGGTTTAATAATAAAATTATATATATAATTTTTTTGTTAAAACACAAAAAATAAATTTATAGCAAAATTTTTAGATTACAGACAATTTTTTAAAAAAGATAATATTTTGTTTTGATTTTATATTACACCTGATCTTGCATTCTAATTGATCAATCAGAGATAGCAATATATCACTATAGTAATAAAATATAATATCTTTTTTTAAAACTTTAAAAAGCTTATAAGTTAAAAAATAAATAAAAATCAAATTTTAAAAAAATTTTAAAAAATTAAATTTTATCCCGGAGCAACGCCCGGGTTTACAGCTAGTTTTATTTTAAAATATTTTGCCATGTAAAATTCGTTATCTCAGACTTTACAGTTTAGTTGTATTACGAACAATTTCATAAACACTGCAAGCAATGCCAGTTAACTTAAAGCGACATCAATACTACGGAATTAGCATGGAAATAATAACATAAATATTATTATTATTATTATTATTATTATTATTATTATTATTATTATTATTATTATTATTATTATTATTATTATTATTATAAGTTGTAGAATTCTTAAAACTAATTAATAAATACGTATTCATTTTGTTCACATTGACCAGTCTGGACATAACATTTAAATTTGAGTCGCACGAATAACGTGTAGCAAATATGATACGAGTGAGAATTGGTGTGTTTAATGATCGATCATTTATCGACTAACCATACTCTCAAATAGTTGGTCACGATCAAACAAATCCAATGATTTATCATTTCCTAGTTGATCATCTCTATTGAAGAGTGACCCTTTTTTTACCTTCTGACGACGCAATCGTACCCAACGTCTTCGACGAACAAATGAACGGAATGGTTGATAGCAACCTATTTAAAAATAAGAAAAAGTTACAATATGAATCTATGAATCTATGTTTATAGTCAAGATAAACTAGATACGTACCGTGCCAACAGGACAAATGGAAATCAGGTGCATACTCCCACCCCTCTGTAAATAAATAATTAAATTCCTAAACAATATTAACTTTCAGCCAAAATAAGAACGATCTCACCTTCATCCACGTCGCCGGACATATCTACCATCCATTCTTTATGAACCTACAAAATTGAAAGACAAATCAATGAATATATGGACATTAAAATTTGTGCATGGATTACAAATTGCTTACAACGCACCCACTCCCACGTTGGATTTGGTAATTGATACGTGTAAATATCCATTGGAGAGAATCTTTATATAAAAGGGTATATCATTAATATCAATCAGTATGATTGAATATAATGACAGAAGCGTCTATAAATAATAATTGCAAGTACTTTTGATGTTTGTCTGACCAAGGCTGAGGATCAGCTTGATTCAATGCATTAGAACTGAACTTAGGTAAGCCAAAGCAAAACAACCTACGCGTAAAAAGAAAAGACAGGTCAAAGCTTTAATAAATAAATAAAAGAGAAAATATTTCAAGAAATTACCCTCGTTGATTTTCATAAAGAATATCATATTCGTAAGTAGGTGCATTGCTTAAAGCTTCCTCGTGTATTTGAGAATCTTGAGGCTAAAATAAAGATCGTAGGTATTTGAACGCAACACGAAAATTTAGTGGCAGATTTATTTAGAAAACCCAAGCTAGCACCTCTTTGAAAATTTCGATTATGCTGAATTTTTTCGACTCTTTTGGGTTTATGATAGCGATTTCGTCGTCCATTGTAAAACAAAGTACGTACTGTACGTACTCACGTACTTACGATAGAGATGGCTAAGTCTTTAGGCCAGAAACCTAGGTCCTGGTTTTGGGACCTAGTTCATAGACTAGTGCTAAAGGGCGTACGTACGTACTCATTACATAATCCTGTAATAATTAATGATGTCATATACCAAAATTTAGGGTCGTTTACACGACTTTTATTTATCAACCAATAAAATCAATCAAAACATCAAATGAATTACAGTATATACAGTATTACATATTAGCGAAGATTTTACTCTTCAACAATATCGTATTCTCAGTTATCGTTGTATTGGAGCAACAACCAGAGTTGGCAATGGAGCTGCGAATGAACCAATGGAGTTCTGAATGGAGCCAATGGATACTAGTTTTTTGAGCTCCATTGGCTCCATTTCAACCCTGCTTAGTCTATAAATTAATAAGAAAATCACTGCATTTATGTTTTTAGGATTAGGGTGCAATTTTAGACAAAGCTTAGGATTAGATATTAGAACCCCCAATTTTAGTTAGCATAAGGTTTTGGGGGTTCTGAACATTTTACTTAGTACTCCTAAGTAGGGTTGAAGGCACGGGGCACGAGACATGCCCTTAGGCCAAAAGTAGGGATCCTCATTTTCTGCTGCAACAGACCCCAAATTTTGCCTGCTTTTCAGTCTATAAAATAAATGGTTATAAAATTATTGAACTTATTTCATAAACTGAGATAGTAAATTGAATGTTCCCGTATACATCAACTGCTGTACTTTATGTTCTCTTCTGATCATTCCGTACCGGCTGGGTTACCAACCGATCATCATAGCCTATAAAATATAGCAGTTATTGCATATTTCAATAACTAGATGATATCTGACCTATCAAGTTTTGATATCAAGCCAGACCGAATAAAAACTAAACATCTCAACTAATATAAAGCTCTTGACACTACAATTGCTTTTAAAAATATATTATAATTTAGAAGGCCGATAGTGTAGTAGTAATCAAAATAAATAATTTACAACATTTTGTTTTCTTTTATATTTATTTCATTACAAAGCCCCGGCCGATTTTAGCTTGGAAATTAAATCATCCACTGAATCTACTTTACCACCTCCTTTTCTTGTTGGCGGATCTGTTACAGAAATTGTCTCTAGCCGAGAAGTTATGTCAACATTTAAATCTTGTGGTGTAAATTTAGCCAAGGGTTTCTTCCTGGCTTTCATGATATTAGGGAGAGTAGCAAACCGGGGTTCATTTAATCTAAAATAAAATTGCCATATTAATAATATTAATATAATGAAGATTATAAATAAGATGCGTTTAATGATCTTACCGCAAATCCGTAGTAATGACTGAAGGCAATTTACTACTAATTGTTTCTAGACCACCATCGACTTCACGCGTTACTTTAATACTGTCTCCGCTAATGTCAAGTTTTGATGCAAAAGTAGCCTAAAATATTAAATAATGTTACCAATCGCATGATTATGAAATTTTTTCGTTCTATTTTCTTACCTGAGGCCAATTTAATAAACCGGCTAACATCTGACCTGTTTGACCAGCGTCATCATCAATAGCTTGTTTTCCTAAAATAACCAAATTGGGTTTTTCTTTTTCAACGATAGCTCTTAATAATTTAGCAACACCCAAAGGTTGTAATTTTGGATACGAATCGTCAGATATTTCAACGTGTATAGCCCTATCCACACCCATAGCGAGTGCAGTTCTCAACTGTTCTTGACCTTTAGAAGGACCACAAGTCACCGCGAGAATTTCCTTTACTACATTTTCACCTAATTTTTCTCTTAATCTTATTGCCTCCTCAATCGCAATTTCATCAAAGGGATTAAGAGAATGTTTTACATTAGCGGTTTCGACGGCAGTCTTTTGCGCGTTTACCCGAACCTTAACTGTAAAATCTATAACTCGTTTACAGGCTTATTATCATTGTTAAAATAAATCATTTAATCGGTTGATAAATTAAAACTTTATGATAAGATAAAAAATGCTTACCAACGAGAATTTTTAAATTTGACATTTTTATTTTTTATACTAGATCGCGAAGAATAAACTTATATAACCCGACCATGCGTGATTGGTTGGATATTTCGCACATCTCACGCGAAATGATAAACGTGATTAAAATATCTCGCTGCCAGTGTTAATTTTTCAATTAAAATTTACTGTGTGAATACCGCACAATTTGTGAAATTTTTTCTATGTGGCAAATAAAACAAACTGTTTGCAACTGTGCTCACTATTTATAAAACGTTAATTTTTCTGTATGTCTGTTCAAAGAAAAATGTGTGCAAAATTTTGTGCTGCGCACAGCCGCACAGCAAAATTAATCACTGCTTGTAGCACGGCTTCTTTTTTTTTTAGGAAAATTCAAATTATTGTTAATCATCACCTTGGCCCGCCACATTACTGTATTAGCAGTTAGTGTCACTAAAGTCATGTGATTTACAACTGCTCCATAAAACGCAGTTCTTTTGAAATTGCACCAACACTCTTGCTCCCATCAAAGGGTATAAATAGGCCTTCTGTCCAGGTTGCCGCCCATATAAAAAGCCTTTCTTTCCTTAAACTTGTCTTCTATTTCTTTCGCGTAGCGACTTTTTAAAACATAAGAAAATATTATTTGAGAATTATAAAATATTAAACCATAGCTTTGCATATATTTGGTTACAGAACGTCACGATGTCAAACAGTATTGTGGTAGGATTTTTGTTCGCTTTTATCAATAATACGCAAAGATGATCCAAAATTCGGTTAGACGAAGTCGCGTCGCTATTGTAATCAGTTTTTGGAAGCTTGTACTAATTCTTTTTATATTTTTCAGGCAACCGTCTATCGCTCGGTCATAAATGACGTAATTGAAAACGTGAAAAAAGATTTTGAAGATTCTGGAGTTGACGAGTCAGTTTTACATATGTTACACCGCGTATGTGGTTTATGAATTAGTTTCCTTCGTGAAGCATGAGTAAATGGCTAACATGTCTATCCACTTGATAACTCATTCTTAAAATCAATTTACAATGGAAAAACAAGTAGACGTGGGAACAAAAGATCAGAAGCTTAAAAGTCACCACTTGGGACTCGGGTGACAGTTTGGAAGAACTAAGTCATAATGGTAATATTAGTTCTTCAGTTATGACTACATCGTATTCACATCCTCCACCAAATGATTCCCATCCGAAGGTAACCAACTGTTATGAATAATTATGGCAATATAAGTCATAAGTGTGAAGGTGGCTTATATCTTTTTAATGATACTAGGCTCCGTCTGGTGATTTTGAAGTAGCAAATCTTCCGATTCTTGCAAGTTCGACACTTACTTCTAATGATTATAATGGAATGGGCAAGCCTCAACCTCATCTGGTATTCGTTGTGTTACAATATAAATGTTTAATACGTTTTATATATTTAATCTAAATAACCACCATTAATTAGTCTACAATGAAAAATGGCAATAGCAACCCATTGTCTTCAACATCATCTACGAATGAAATTAATCCTCAAGTTTTCGCTATTGTCTCTCATCCTGATGGTACTATATATATATATATATATTTTTTTTTTTTTTTTTTTTTTTTTTTTTACTTTTGCAAAACAATACAAGAAAATGTCACTTAAACTAATTAATCTTATCAAAAGCATTACAGTATTTTCCATCAAATGATACATCCGTGGGTCATGATCCTACATACCATCAACCAATCAAACAACAGGTTCGGATTCTTACATTTGAAATAGATTTTATCCCGAATCAACTCCTGTGCGATTTTTTATGTCGTATTTTCTGAATCCAAAGGAGGTCGATGTGTATAATGAACTAAAAATTAAAGACGATTCCGGGCTTATCTATAATGAAGCTCTTATGAAAGCTCAAACACCGCCTCCACAACAATTAGCATATGACTCGTCAAGAAAAGAAACGAGACGTAACGAGTCATACGGAGAAGAGGATGATATTAATTCTGATCTCGACGACTCAGACGATGATGGTAACACTGAAGGCGAGGAAACACAGAATATTATTTTATGTTTATATGATAAAGTAAATGATATAATTGGTTTTCATTAAACGTGTATTCTTTTTTCTGATTACATTGATTAATTACTGATTTTTATTTCACATCCTTCGCAGGTGACTCGTACGAAAAACAAATGGAAATGCCAATTGAAAGATGGAATAATGTCGGTGAATGGTCGTGATTACCTCTTCCAGAAAGGAAATGGTGATTTTGAATTTTAGAGAATCTGTACGATATTCTAATTTCTTTACAAAAAAAAAAAAAAAAAAAAAAGATTGATGTGTCACGTGGATAACGTTAACTGGCGTATTTGATTCGGGTATGGTGCTGATAGTTAAATAATCGAATTATACAAATGCGACGTAATAATGTAATAATAGTTAGATTATTAGTATAAATAAGTAAAGGGATAAAATGTAAAGCAGGTTTTGCACAAATCATATTCAAAATAAAGGAAATCTTATCTTCGCTTGTCTCCTTTGCGTCAGCAACCCCAATAAGATCTTGGAAGATCGATAAACATCAGGAAATTTTAAAATTAGATTATAATCGATTAAAATCTAAGGATTTCAAACGATTCTCATCACCACTGTCGATTAAAATCGATTGATTATAATCGGTATATATAGATTTATATCGATTATCGTTATTATCAATTTTGATATAAATCGATTATCAATACCACCGTTGATTATAATCGCTTGAAGTCAATCGATTATAATCAATTACATCAGGAAATTTTTTAGATAATACATATCAATGATAATTGGGTGATTATAATTGATATATAACATTTCTGCTGATTAATAAACTAATGATATTTAATAAAATTTTATAATTATTAGCAAAATTTTGATGAATATTTTGATAATTAGTAATTAAATTTTTATTATAAATTAGTAATGATTAACATATTAAGGGTTCAATTAATTTATCTTAGTAGTTCTCAAGAAATTGTTTATATATACTAGTTAATTTTTTAAAAAATAAATTATCATATATATATATTTTTTTCCTTTGGCAATCCTGTTTACTTTATTATGAAAACAGACTTTCATTCCTACATCGGCGTACAAGGAAATCTATAATCTATAATGTTCTAACCAAAGAGTAAACTCACCTCTGGCATATCTCGCAGATGCTGAAACATTTACTTGCAGTCAGGACGAACCATTAAACCGCTGTGTTTTGCCCAGATATGACCTGCCTAGCAACACTTGGCCTCCTCCAGAGATCCAGAACTTATTCTGAACTTATTTTTTCCAGATTCCTTAGCTGGCTGTTGTTCACCATGTCAAGATTTCTGCTCTACAATAGAATATTGCTAAACTGATGATACTTTCTTGTAGAAAAGGAAAAAAGAAAAAAAAAGGATAATAATAGGAAATGAAAAAAGTGTATATAATAAAAACAAATACATCAAAGAAAATGAATACTAATACTAAGGAATATAAAAAACTAAACTAAAAATCTA